ACAGACAGGTAGAGTGTGACGTCACAACTCCTGTCAGAGTACAGACAGGTAGAGTGTGACGTCACAACTCCTGTCAGAGTACAGACAGGTAGAGTGTGACGTCACAACTCCTGTCAGAGTACAGACAGGTAGAGTGTGACGTCACAACTCCTGTCACGTCAAAACAAAGTTAAACAACAGGAAACCAAAAACCTGCATCACTCATCTGTCCCGGCAACAGGTGCAGTAGGCCTGTATCAGTGATACCCTGTCCTAATAACAAGGATTACCCTTCCCTGTCATGTCATAACGAAGCCATAAGAAGAAATAATGAGGGGCTGTATTACCCATCTTCTGCTATAACAAAATATATGAAATAGGACTGCGCCATCGCTTACCTGAGATTTTCTTCTTAGCTGATGTATATATTTTAACGGTGTTGGAAGCAACAAACGAAATGTATCTTTCAAATGTTTCTTTATTTTTATTGATTGACCTGTGTGTGATAGAACGTACTCTTGGAAATTGTAAAATAACCTTCCCCGGGGATTCTTCATACATAATTCAACTTAAAACTATCACCATTTGAAAAAATGTCGAACCGCCAATAAGAAATAATCTGTTTACCACCCTCATTTAGAAAACATTTAATTCTTAACGTCAAAGATTGCAACAGTTCATATTAATTAAAAATTCGTTAAGTACTTAAATTCGGAACTGATATCATACAGACACACATTTGTAAACTATAATATGGACTATCTGTGAGGGAGTAGGAGGCTCTGACAGACCACGTACAATGATGATAATAGAATCGACCGGGCGTATCTAACTAAGTATGGTAAAATACAATGATGATAAGGGAGACAACCCGTGAACACTTACAGAACTCGTCCGCGGAGAACTCTCGGTGTAGCATGTCCTTCTCGTCCTTACTGTTCATCATGTGGAGCGAGTAGGTCAGATTCATACCTGACGGCTGGAAAAATAAGATACGTCAGTAGTCAATAAACACGTGGTGTCACCATCGGTAGGTCGATATAAATCAATAATGATCAGGGTAATAGTAAATATATTGAAATTAATGATAATTGGTCACACCGACTGACGGCATCGACCCTGGTCCCTACCAATCAAAATACGTACGCCTGTTATTTGGTCACACCGTCCAATGACCACGTCCCCAGTACCTACCCTTTACAATACGTACCCCTGTTGATTTGTCAATTCTACTAACGGTCACCCACCTATTCACTACCCTTCACTTTACATAACCCTGGCGATTGGTCACATCTACTAACGGTCCCCCCCCCCCCCCCTCGCCCCCCCCCCCCCCCTATTCCCTGCCCATCACTTTACATACCCCTGGTGGTTGGTCACATCTACTAACGGTCATCCCCTATTCCCTACCCATCACTTTACATACCTCTGGTGGTTGGTCACAACCACGGACGACCACGACCATAGTTCCTACCGTTTCAATACGTACCCCTGTTGATTTGTCACACCGACTGACGATGACTGGTCCGTCCTCTTAACAATACGTAACCCCGTTGATTGGTCACACCGACTGACGGTGAATGGTATATCCCCTTTACAATACGTACCCTTGTTGATTTGTCACACCGACTGACGATGACTGGTCCGTCCTCTTAACAATACGTAACCCCGTTGATTGGTCACACCGACTGACGGTGACTGGTATATCACCTTTACAATACGTACCCTTGTTGATTTGTCACACCGACTGACGGTGACTGGTCCCTCCCCTTTACAATACGTACCCTTGTTGATTTGTCACACCGACTGACGGTGACTGGTATATCCCCTTTTCAATACGTACCCCTGTTGATTGGTCACACCGACTGACGGCTATAAACCACCATCGCTCTCTCGTGGAGCGGAAGGTACGTCCTCCAGTACACTTGATGTAGTCCACGCCATTCTTTGTGGTTTCCACACATCCCGACCAGGAATATAGAATTGACAAGGAAATGATTTGGTTGTTTGCCGGATCCAGTACTGCTACCTTCTGGTCACAGGTCTGTAGCCAAACACAGAGGGATATCAGTTAGTGTCAGTAACATATACTATGATACTAGCATCATACAGTACTGCTACCTTCTGGGGGAGGGGGACGGGCGACATACAGCGATAAGGAATAAGCTGATATTCCAATACAGCAATATAATATTAAGAATATTTACAAAAACATATCATAAATGTCTTATTTGGTTGTTTTGTATTTACCTGACAATATGCAATAGTTCATGAGAGTCTTACTTGATTAGATATTGAAATATAATATTTATAAATACATTATACATATTCCTTGCCCCTTTAACATCATTAAGCTCAGCTGGTTAGAGTGTCCAGTAAGAGTTAGGAGGTCCGGGCCGGGGTTTGAACCCCAATTTTCCTGATACAAGTAGGTATAAACTTATCTTACTGTATCACCATAGTATCGTCACAGTGCTAAACAGCACGGATTACCAGAACGCTAAAGAGCTATACTGACCGACTACACGTCATTTCGGACTCTCAGTACCTACCAAGCTGGTCTTGTAAACACTGTCCCATTGACTTGACTCGTCAAAGTACAGCAGCACATTCTGTATGGAGTACGACTACAACAGATAGAAACAAACACACAATACCATTAAACCTCGTCTCTGTACAAGTAACAGCGTATCGGATTGGACTAGATTGATCACGTGCCTGTATATATGAAACTTTTCTTTTACCCAGGTGTCCCGGAAGGGGAAGTGTCTTTTGCTTCAACGTCGGCACCCTCCATGTTAACATTACATGGTCAAATCAAAGTAGTGTAACGTCCTGACACCAATAACTGGGATAGTGACAACAACAACAACAACAACAACAACAACAACAACAAACTGTTGAGTATACTTAAAAACATCAACCTCCATATCACACAAAGAAATAGCTTCTCACAACGTGGGACGATCTGCTTAGACAGCACATCGAATGTGTAGTAGACTGGCTACCAACCACTTAAGATTTTTATGAAGAGTTTCTCAACTACATTTTATTAATAGCTTATCTCCCCCTAATTTAGAACTCAGACATCCAAGTGACCAAAATCATAAGAGTTAAAAAAAATCTCTAAACAATTCAATATTCTAGAGACGGAAGTCAGTCTAAATGTGTAGTTGAAACACTGTTTACAATATAGAACTATGTAAACAGAACAACTTGTTTTTCTAGAAGTGTCTCATCTACTCCATTTAAGTAAAAGAGAAAGTAAATATCGTAATAGACTGTTAAATTAAACAATGCGGCATAATTTGACAGAACAATAACAATAAATATCTTGTTGAATTAAGATTCACTGCAGTCTTCCTGTGTGCTTAAAGTCATAAATATCCATGACCACACAGTTGTGTTTTTTCTTACGAATCAGAAACCACGAGTTTATTGCGCGGACGAATATTTACGTCCGCGCAATAAACTCGTGCTTTCTGATTCGTTAGAAAAACACAAGTGTGTGGTCTTACTTTTATCACATACCTTCCGTATTTGGTAGAGATCGATACAAAGTTTTTAGAAACTTTGATATTTTTTGCAAATACCGGGAACTGTTCAGGTCGCCATGACAAGGGGATTCCCATAAAAGTAGTTCCGGCTAGTAGGTAAATACAGCATTCCGTATTGCACATGTGCAATACAGAACGTTGCATGTCCTGGTCTGAAAATTGCTTGTGTTACTATAACAAGATTCAACAGGTAGGTGATAAAATATCATATCTATTACATTGCTTACAAGTTATTGAGGAATAGTATAGCTTTAGGGAACGGTGTTGTTCGTTCTACGAGCGATATCACTTCATGAGATGTGTGTGTAAATAGTGGTATCGTTGTTAGTCTTGCTGCTGTTACAGATTAATAAAATTCGGTAGTTTTCACCACCTTGATACACCTCAGTACTGGTAGATAGGGAGGCTACCATAACTCGTTCGTATCTAAAACCTAATTCGTATTTTGTAAAAAAAGAAATTGTTCACTGATCGAAAACAAGTAAAGTGCCGTTAAACATACTGTATTAGTATCCTGTATTTCTATTTTGCCGAGAACTGTTGACCATGAGCCCTGCACACAACAAAAATAATTTGAAAGGTCGAGAAAGGTACAATTCATGAACTAAATATATTCATATTTGTTGTTTACTCGGCACTAAAACAACACTGGACGATTCAATAGAGATGTTTTTGTCGGAATAGAATAACACCAAGTTTATAATCGGTCGAGTGACTAAATATGACCTCAACACTAGTGAGTACATACATAATATATTATGTGTCCTAATCACAGGATTAGCCCGGCCCGCGACCCATAAAACACGTACTAACATTTATAACACAGAAACCACAGGGACTTGTAGTATTACGGAGGGCCGTAAAATATGTCCCGTTTATCTATGTAAGGACGAAAGCGAATATCCAGATCTGTTTATAAAGTTCGACAGGTCAAAACATAATTTACATTTTGTACAATATTTACCTTTTAAACACACCTAGCAATACACAATGGACGTAATATCATAGTCATACACATGTAATTAGATAAAGACACATACAGGCGCCACAGGAAAGGATTATCTGCGGTCAGAAGGCCGGATACCTTATACATACCATACAATAGTACGTTTTGTTATGCTATTACTTATTTACGAGAAACATAATCATACAATGTCACCTTACATGTACGGCCAGACAATAACATGACCAGCTGTTGACCAATGGTCTCCGTTAGTACATGGTACTTGACTTCCTGAGTATCCCTGTTATTGGTAGATACGTATTTCTATCACACTGATCCTTTACTCACCAACACCCAGCTCAATCCATTAAACAAAGGAGCTGTTGATTACCGTTGCAACTCAAAGGTGTTGAGATAAATACAAATGTTTGAAGTTCGAACTATTTGTGAAGATTTAACTAACCCGAGATATATTTGACAATCATTTCATGAACAGTTTGATAATTTAAAAATAACAATAAATATTTTTTTTTATTTTCTTAACCTTAAATATCTATCAACAATTAGAGTGAAGCCATGTTTAAGCCATGTGTATTAGCATTGATTTGAACGAGTAAACATTTCATTTTTACATTGGCGAGGTGAACATCTCCACAACGACAATGTGGAACATACCTTAGGATATTCGAATGTATATCGTAGAATGCCTTTCGACGACAGGAAACAAAACCGGGTGATGAAATGCCAGTCCTGTAAATTGAAAAAAAAAAAAAAACATTTGAGCATATACTTAGTCGTACTTATAGATAATTTTGTGTTCGTTATTTTCGTGTTAATCCAAAGGAGCTAAATTATGATACAGTCGAACCTCGTTATCTCGAAGTCGACGGGGTCGTGGGGAAACTTCGAGTTATCCGAGTATTCGAGTTATGCGGGATCATAAATTTGGTATGAAATTTGCTGTTGGGACAAACCACTAGCAGTTGATTATTATAAATTAAGGTCTTCCTTCTCATTTGTAAACTGAAAACCTGGTGCTGAGGCACGATGACCATACAGCTAGGATGGGGTAAACATCAGTACGACGTTTATCACTATCAACATATCATTGTCATTTCCGAAAAGAGAAAACAATTACAATACAGGCGAGAAAACGGGATGTTTTTAATGATAGAGACTGGTTTACGTAAAATGCACACAGACACAAAACGCCACAGATTCTTTGTTTAACTTAAGCGTAATAAACACAAAAAACATAACGGGTGGATGTGGGTCGTCTTGTCCCTCAAATCAAGCTTTGAGTGGTTGCCCTCGTTTTCCTTGTCCTTATAAGTTAGCTAAGTATGGTTTAGAGACCTGGTCAAATTTAAAAGATATGGCAAGGAAAGGAAATTTGTAGAACCGTATTTAATGCCAGATGAACATATCACACACACAGGTAACTGCACTATGTTGGTAAAACTTGGTAATAGATATAGTTAGCCGAAACTACACTGCATCATACAGCTGTTTCATCCTTCCAAGACTCATTGGCGCTGCTAGGGGCCAAAAGTTGGAAACAACATTGTCTTAACTACTGTCCAAACAGAGGGTCAGGTGTGTAGAAACCCTTAATTCGTGAATTTAATAACGGAGGAGTACTAGTTAATTTTAGATAAAAAGGCAGAATTACAGAATGTAAAAATATAAACATCGATGAGAGTTCGAATTTGTTTTATTGTTTAGGATTTGTGTTTTTCATACCCTTTAAGTGGATCGAGAGAAAGACTGAAAATATACACTAAAATATAACAGAAATGATAAGCTTTAAATATTGACGCATTTTCTGAATTGTAGAGAACTATGTCTTTGACAAGTATGGAAAATAAAGCAGATAGGAGAGGGGAAATGGAGCAATTTCGATAAATGACGCTTATCCTCATTTCGAAAAGGAGGATACCCGTTTTAATATACAGGATATATCTCCTGACGAATGAATACGTTCTTTTTGACAACGGAGGTGATAATACCAGAGGCTAGCTATAGGCCATATCGTCGGAAGCGTATTCAAGGTACAGTTTGTATAAAATATACAACATTTGATATAGCGCCCTATCTAGCTAACATAAGCCACTCTAAAGCGCTTTACAGTACATAGATATATAGTTTTATACAGTCAATACAGTTAGCATATATATATTAATCAATACAATATTGAGGAATCCGCAGGAGCTGCCTTATCAGGCGCTAACTACTAGTCCTATGCCACCTAGCTAATATCTCCCTCTGTGTATATGCCTGTGTATAAGCTGTGTAGATACTTAACTGTCTCGACAGAAGTTCAATATTAGTAACACTCTACAATGTCCTTATGTAAAAGCATTCGTCGATCAAAGGCTAACTTGACATTTTCTTCTGTGCTTTCAAACTTACCACCGTGATCCCTGGTGTCCGTCTAGTGGTGTATGTCCGTGTTATAGACATACCCCGGATGTACGTAGTGTATCTTGTCTGTAAACTTAGGTGTTAGTTTAGTTTTCTATATCATGTGGCACGAAAATTTCGATTGAAAAGCGTTGTATTGATATTGATACAGTAAACAAGAGATATTTGTACATCACACCAAACATGGCGGTTATATCGACCGACTGCATGGGTTAGATACTTCAGAGAGTAGCAATAAATAACGTATGAAGGAGTTGTTTCCCTGTATTATAGTATAGAGCGTTAAATGTATTTGTAAACCCACACAGTTACTGGGTAGGGAGATCTAAAGTCCTGAAGTGGTAGTTTATTGTAATCTAGTGAATCAGGGTAGGATACCGGAGCGGCAAGGGCAGCTCCATCAAACTAAAGGTACCAAGTAAAAGGTACAGGCGGAGTGTAAACCAAGGATTCCGTCACGGTAGACTTATTTCGGATGGCTAAATGTTTCGGATGGCTAGGTTCTGATGACGGTTGGCCTAGCCATCGAAATCAAGGTCAACTCAATACTCATCAATACACTCGGACAATACCAGAGGGTCATTCAGCAGTTACTGTAAAATATTAGGAGCGAGACAGGTTGTTTTTCTTTCCAACATTTGAAAATGTTTGCTGTTGAATTTTTTTCTGATTATGCTCTGCTGATACTTGTAATATACGCTAGAAGAAGATGCTAGTGATTTTGGATCATTCAAGTAAGAAGTGCCCTCCCTTTATTCCTGATTCGGATAAAGGCGACTTATAAATAATTCTCGTCGGTGTTGAATTCCACCCCGCCTCCTGTATACTTTGTACCTTAACAAACACGTGCTTTTGCATTACTTAAGAATCCTTAGAAACGGTCACCATTATGAAAATTGTTGACAGCTTCTTTGAAACTTGCTATTTTGAATAATTTCATGTCAACTTTTTGTCATGATTTTCACTTTTTAAAAATGTATTCCAAATACAATTTGAATTAAAAAGTAGCTTACCTAAATATCGTATGTTCACTTGGCCTTAAAATGTAAATAACATTTAATTAAGGTCATAGGAGTGTATTGCTAAACGGAAATAGGAAGTACATCCCTAGTTGAAAATCCAATGTAGGGAGACAGTATCACAATTTCCGCATAACCAATGTTTAATATTAAAGTGATGAATATTGTATGATTATTATTGACAGAACAGTGTGTTCTTTCAATATTAAAGTATTACAAAGCAATCCAGGCATTAATTCAGTTGTTTTTTAATCAATGAGTCACATGTGTCAGGAAACCGGCTACCTATTTCACTACTGAGAAGTTTTTCAAGAACGATCACTCTTGCATGCAATTACTATGTGTATATGGTTTTATTACACAATGTCAATTTTTAATCGGTTTATAAATAATTAATTTTACACAATTTCATTATTTATGAAATTTATATACATCAATGCAATACTAATCTATGTTAGTATAATTTTTATTGACATTATTTTGCAAAAAATTGTGTGTTTCAAATATTTGTTCAACATTCACTCCTTTTTACATAAATTTCCATTTAAAATCCTTAACATTCTGACAACTTATATCTTTTTTGTGGCAGAAAATGTTCTTTACTTCAAAGCAATATAACTACAAAATTTGAATAAATTCTACTGAGAAATGGCGACACAATCCTATTACCTTAATACACTTGAAGAATGTTTTTCATCTTTTACACAAGGCTTCGTGATCTACCTAAACCCGATCAATGCATCACAATATCAATACATATTTCACAGGTACGTGTTAAGCGTCCCAGACAACTTGCTGGAGATTCAACGTCGCCCGGAACCTTGTTGGTCCGACCTAAGTCTAGTCTCGCTTTCCCCAGACTCTCGCTCTCGAGACCTTGTCCGTGCGATAGTCTAGTCAAATTCCTACTTCATTTTGGTGATTTCAATTCAAAGCCTGTCTACTAAAATTTCGATTAAATTTTCAACAGTAAAAGCTACAGTTAGCTATACTGAAATATATCATTGTGTACAATGAAGACGTTCTGGCTGTGTAACTGACATGGGAAGTATTTCATGGAAGTCGCTGTTTTGGTTTAGCGCTTTCTACAGGTTACAAAAATATAATAGGAACTGAACCAAACTCTCGCACGGACAAAATCTCAAGAGCGAGAGTTTAGGGAAAGCGAGACTTTCCTCTGTCAGTAGGTTAAGTCATTTTGGTCGCGGATTATGGCCGGATTATATGAACAATACACCCCGGGACCTAACTTACAGGATCACAGCGCAATAATGGAATTAATCAGTGTCTATAAACAACTTCTACGTGTCAGTAGTATTAACTGGTCAAGATCTGTGTAACGTAGGCTAAAAACATCTTATAAATATATAACAAGTTAGGTGTTACATAAATATATAACAAGGTATGTGTTACATAAATATATAACAAGGTATGTGTTACATAAATATATAAAAAGTTAGGTGTTACATAAATATATAACAAGTTAGATGTTACATAAATATATAACAAGTTAGGTTTCTATTGCTGACAAACTTACATAGTTTGTCATCAATAGCACTGTGTGTTATAGGACCATAACAACATCTGCTAAAACATGCATTGCTTAAATCACAAATTAGGTGTAACACGGTTACCGCGAGCGGTATATAATACGCCCGTCACACATTGAATGAACAGTTGTTTGTATGATTGAAATATATGAAGTATTTGTGAGTAGTTGATATTAAAAGAGAAATCATTCAACATAATTGGTAGATCAATGAGTGCAATACAACATCATGGAACGCATGCATCGAATTAATGAAACCAAGGGGCATAACTCCAATAATTACGAACTTGTCCGAGCTTTCCTGGTAATTAACCTTGTTGTGAAGTTTGAAGTTAATTCGTTAATAATTACTCGAGATATCGAGCGGACACTGTTTCGGCAAGTAAAGGGGCATAACCCCACAAATTATGGTCGGATAATGGCGGTTATCGAACTTGTGTGAGGTTATATGGTAATTAACCTTGTTGTGAAGTTTGAAGTTAATCCGTTAATAATTACTCGAGATATCGAGCGGACATCGTTCGCATTCCCGCCCGCGCGCCCGCGCGCCGCCCGACCGCCCACCCGCTCACGTGATAACATAATACGTCCCCGTCTTCGACGGGCGTATAAAAATAGATCAAAGATTGAGTGTTTACAGTGATCTGATGTCTCAATTATTTTCCCCACAATCGGTGACGGAAATCAAATTGAAGGGTTTTCTAAATTCTTTCATAATGGTATAGCATACGTTTGTATATCGTTTAAGTCAGACCTTAGTCGACAGTAATCCTAACTAGTTACAGAACTGACCACTCCTGAATACAGTACTGACCATTACTGGCCGGGTACTGACCATTAGTACGTTATGTCAACGAACAAGTATTACAATATGACCAGTGGTCAATGCTAACACCAACACTGGTCAACATATAACTATCAAATGGTTTTAAGTATTCGCGTCAATATTATCACAAAGACATATTCCAGGTGTCGATCGTGCCTAGCCGTTAGATGTATTGCACTCGGACAGTATTTAATGTTAGTTCTTAACTGTAATATCGTGTATTAGTGCCCTACATAGACGTTTGACCATTGTGACGTAACACTGTCCACTAGACAATAACTTTCAAACACATAACAAGAAAACTTTACTAGGGTTTTCAGTAACTCTAATCTTACGCGGCACTAGATAATTGTATGAATTAAAACGTTTTTATCTTTTATGAAAACATTCGTTCGAGGTACACACAATAAAGAGATATTATTTTGTAAAACACTTCTATAAGAACCGTCCAGCAGTCAAAGAACCGTTCCTTTACACCTGTTTGGTAGCGGCTTTAAAATAATGATAGTAATATTGTTTTTTGTTCAAAATGAAATCTGAGAGAAAACCAATCAATACCTGTCCGCCACGTTAAGAATTCAAACCTATCCGTCATATACCGGGTGTCTGAATTAAGATATTGAGTGTGACGGTGTTGACGTACCTGACTAGTAACAAGGGTACCATCAACCTTCTTCCCTAGGGTCTCCTGCCACAACAGAGGGAGGAGGAACAGAAACGTCCACCACATCATCTCAACAACGTACACAGGGACCTATAGGTCCGTCTTGTGTATTAAGGCCTTCAAACACCAACACAGGGACCGCAATAAGGTCCGCCGCCTATCTCTTGAACGACCTCGACGCCGTAATCATCGACGCCTAGTCACTGAAAGCCTTCAAACAGGCGGTACACATAGACCCTGAGGTTTATCCTGTCTCTGTATCTAAACACTGTATAGCAGACCTTGGGTCCCAACAATGGTAAGAGACCTGGAAGTCCGGTCTAGTATCTGTATAGAGCGGTGAGAGTGTAGAATTCCATCGGGTGTATCGGTCCCGTGTCGCTATACCACGGTGTACATATACAGTCGTGTAGGAAGTCGGGTATGTTGGACTCTAGGTGGAATTAAGATCAATAATCCCAACAATGAATTATATGAAAGCCATGCATATACTGAACGCGTTATAATAAACATTGGCTCGTGTAAGTATAAAAGTAGACCAAACACAGTGATACGATACACGAGTGTTTGGACGTGAGGACAAACAGTGATACACGTGTGTTTGTATGTGACGACACAATAATACACGTTTGTTTGTATGTGACGACACAATGATACATGTGCGTTGGTATGTGACGACACAATTATACACGTGCGTTGGTATGTGACGACACAATGATACACGTGTGTTGGTATGTGACGACACACAATGATAAAAGAGTGTTGGTACGTGACGACACAATGATGAAGTTTGAAGTTAATGCCACCCGCTCACGATACACGTGTGTTGGTATGTGACGACACAATTATACACGTGCGTTGGTATGTGACGACACAATGATATACGTGTGTTGATACGTGACGACACAATGATACGCGTGTGTTGGTATGTGACGACATAATGATACACGTGCGTTGGTATGTGACGACACAATGATACACGTGCGTTGGTATGTGACGACACAATGATATACGTGTGTTTTTATGTGACGACACAATGATTCACGTGCGTTGATAAGCGACGACACAATGATACACGTGTGTTTGTATGTGACGACACAATGATACGCGTGTGTTGGTATGTGACGACACAATGATACACGTGCGTTGGTATGTGACGACACAATGATACACGTGTGTTTGTATGTGACGACACAATGATACACGTGTGTTGGTATGCGACGACCCACAATGATACAAGAGTGTTGGTATGTGACGACACAATTATACGCGTGTGTCGGTATGTGACGACACAATGATACACGTGCGTTGGTATGTGACGACACAATACTACACGTGTGTTGGTATGTGACGACACAATGATACACGTGCGTTGGTATGTGACGACACAATGACACGTGTGTTTGTATGTGACGACACAATGATACACGTGCGTTGGTATGTGACGACACAATACTACACGTGTGTTGGTATGTGACGACACAATGATACACGTGTGTTTGTATGTGACAACACACACTGATACAAGTGTGTTTGTATGTGACGACATAATGATACACGTGTGTTTGTATGTGACGACACACACTGATGAATGTGTGTTTGTATTTGACGGAAACAGAAAGTTTATTCCTTAAGAAAATGAACAGTTATTTACATCAATTCAGGTAAAGCAGTAATGTTACAACTAGTACAGTAAAGCAGAAATTTTACGTCTGATTTTAATAAGGAAAAGAATAATTCTACATGTAATGAAGATCAACGGTAATTTAACATTTAATGAGGTGACATGTAAACTGGCGGAGCAGGTTTTACAATGCTTTTCTATCTCTACAGATTTGACTTAGTCTCTGATAATGAGACAGTTCGAAGACAAGTTCCACTGAAGGTAAAATGTAGGAAATAGAACTTCATAACTTAGAGTGCGGCATTCTTTGGGGCGAAGAGGGGAGTTAGGAACTGACTTTCTATATCAAGATTATATCAAATGTAGGTTATGATATGCTTATAAACGGGAACATTACTTAATTCTATTTAAGTCTAGTTCGCGGGTTTTTAAATATATCAGTAGATAAACACGGAAAGATCCTGTCTATTTAGAGTGAGAGACCGTGCTGATTTATGTGATGACTTCATACTACAAAATACGCCGAGATATGATAATCGGCTTGAGTGGCGTTATCATCCCTGATAAGGCCGAGCCTCAAGCAAAGTTCAATCACAGCCTCTGTTCACGGCAATTATAGCGTCTCACAGGACACATACCTGTTAACTGCAATGACGTCACAGTACTGACAGCACATGTGTAGTTTAGAATTTCGTGAGGAACTACCTAGAGGATAGTATTTACCGTACACCAAACTGTGAGTATACGAGTTCCGTGTATCTAAATATCACACTACCTTGTAAATAACGTATATTACATTCCATTACTCGTATATAACTCACAAGTACCCGTATATAACAAACAAGTACCCGTATATAACATACAAATACCCGTATATAACATACAAGTACCCGTATATAACAAACAAGTACCCGTATATAACATAAAAATATCCGTATATGACATGCAAGTATCCGTATATAACATACAAGTACCCGTATATAACAAACAAATACCCGTATTTAACATGCAAATACCCGTATATCACATACAAGTACCCGTATATAACATACAAGTACCCGTATAAAACATACAAGCAAGTACCCTTATATAACATGCAAGTAATCATATATAACATACAAGTGCCCGTATAAAACCAACAAATACCCGTTTATAACATATAAATACACGTATATAACATACAAGTACCATTTATTACAAACAAATTCCCGTATATAACATACAAGCAAGTTCCCGTATATAACATATAGTTACCCGTATAAAACATAAAAGCAAGAACCCTTATATAACATACATGTTCCCGTATATAACATATAAGTACCCGTATATAACATACAAATACCCGAATATAACATGCAAGTACCCGTATATAACATAGAAGTACCCTTATATAACATACAAGTACCCGTATATAACATAGAAATATCCTTATATAACATACAAATACCCGTATATAACATACAAGTACCCGTATAAAACATACAAGCAAGTACCCTTATATAACATGCAAGTACTCATATATAACATACAAGTGCCCGTATAAAACCAACAAATACCCGTTTATAACATATAAATACACGTATATAACATACAAGTACCCGGATATAACAAGCAAGTACCCGTATATAACATAAAAATATCCGTATATGACATTCAAGTATCCGTATATAACATACAAGTACCCGTATAAAACATACAAGCAAGTACCCTTATATAACATGCAAGTAATCATATATAACATACAAGTGCCCGTATAAAACCAACAAATACCCGTTTATAACATATAAATACACGTATATAACATACAAGTACCCGGATATAACAAGCAAGTACCCGTATATAACATAAAAATATACGGGTATTTGTATATCACATACAAGTACCCGTATATAACATAAAAATATACGGGTATTTGTATATCACATACAAGTACCCGTATATAACATACAAGTATCCGTATATAACATACAAGTACCCGTATAAAACATACAAGCAAGTACCCTTATATAACAAACAAATACCCGTATATAACATATAAATACCCGTTTATAATATACAAGTACCCGTATATAACATACAAATACCCGAATATAACATGCAAGTACCCGTATATAACATAGAAGTACCCCTATATAACATACAAGTACCCGTATATAACAAACAAGTACCCGTATATAACATAAAAATACCCGTTTATAACATACAAACAAGTATCCGTTTATAACATACAAGTTCCCGTATATAACATACAAATACCGGTATGTAACATGCAAGTTCCCGTATATAACATACAAATACCCGTATAAAACATAAAAGCAAGTACCCTTATATAACATACAAATACCGATATATAACATACAAGTTCCCGTATATAAACATACAAATACCCGTATATAAAATAAAAGCAAGTACCCTTATATAACAAACAAATCCCCGTATATAACATACAAATACCCGTTTATAACATACAAACAAGTATCCGTTTATAGCATACAAGTTCCCGTATATAACATACAAATACCCGTATATAACATGCAAGTACCCGTGTATAACATAGAAGTACCCTTATATAACATACAAGTACCCGTATATAACATAGAAATATCCTTATATAACATACAAATACCCGTATATAACAAACAAATACCCGTTTATAACATACAAGTACCCATGTATAACATACATATACCCGTATATAACATACAAGTACCCGTATATAACATACAAATACCCGTTTATAACATACAAACAAGTATCCGTTTATAGCATACAAGTTCCCGTATATAACATACAAATACCGGTATGTAACATACAAGTTCCCGTATATAACATACAAATACCCGTATATAACATAAAAGCAAGTACCATTATATAACATACAAATACCCGTATATAGTATACAAGAGAGTACCCATATATAACATACAAGTACCCTTATAAAACCAACAAATACCCGTTTATAACATCTAACTGTATATCAAAGCAACTGTATGTTATACCCTGTATAACATACAGTTACCCGTATATAACAAACAAGTTCCCGTATATAACATACAAGTACCCGTATATAACACACAAATACCCGTTTATAACATACAAGTTCCCGTATATAACATACAAATACCCGTATATAACATTAAAGGAGGTACCCGTATATAACAAACAAGTACCAGTTTAAAGCATACAAGTACCCGTATATAACAAACAATTACTCGTAAATAACTTACAAGTACCCGTATTTAACAAACAAGTACCCGTATATAACAAGCAAGTACCCTTATATAGCATACAAGTACCCGTATATAACAAACAAGTACCCGTATATAACAAGCAAGTACCCGTATATAACATACAAGTTCCCGTATATAACATACAAGCAAGTACCCTTATATAACATGCAAGTACCCATATATAACATACAAGTACCCGTATATAACATACAAGCAAGTACCCTTATATAACATACAAGTACCCGTATATAACATACAAGTGGCCGTATATAGCATACAAGTACCCGTATATAACATACAAATACCCGTATATATCATACAAGTACCCGTATATAACATACAAGCAAGTACCCTTATATAACATACAAGTACCCGTATATAACATACAAGTGGCCGTATATAGCATACAAGTACCCGTATATAACATACAAATACCCGTATATATCATACAAGTACCCGTATATAACATACAAGCAAGTACCCTTATATAACATACAAGTACCCGTATATAACATACAAGTGGCCGTATATAGCATACAAGTACCCGTATATAACATACAAATACCCGTATATATCATACAAGTACCCGTATATAACATACAAATACCCGTATATATCATACAAGTACCCGTATATAACATACAAGTACCCGTATATAACATACAGTTACCCGTATATAACATACAAGTACCCATATATCACATACCAGTACCAATATATAACATACGAATATAAACATATACCCTTATGATCTTATTTGTTGTTATTAATGAGTTGATTCCTTAGTATATATATATATAAATATATATGGGATTTTACTGCTATATTTATTCTTTGACCCATATATAAATATATATAAATAGATGCTAAAAATTGTTCTTTCTTTTAACCGCAAGTTCATGTAAGACTAGAACTGTAGCCTGTTTCCTTTGTTACGAATCAAAATCAAGGTTTAGGTGTGAAGATAAATACAAATTACTACCTAAAATAATTTAACATTTCCTTTAGATGAAGGAACGTTAGTTAAAACCATATTGATCGTTCAACGGGAGGTAACTCGTAAGTGTGTATTATGATTGGTGTAAATACGCCGCATACTAATACTCGACATTGAGCTCTGTTATTCCTTGGAAAGCTACCAATCACGTGATAGTTATGAGAGATAAAATGCGTAAGAAATATTGTAATGTATAGCAAGAACTGTAAACATTTGAAAGCCCGTTGCAAAAGGTGCGATCACAGCTCGTATCTAAAACAAAGATTGTTTTCATAGAAACTGATCTATGAACCAATCCAAAAAAAGCAGCGTTTTTGACAAGATAAAGGTGTTGAAAATAGTGAAAGGGAAAACTAGTTTTTGTGACAGAAATCCCCTACTCGGAAAATGAGAAAAACTGGGAAAACCACGTTACATATAGTTAACGCTGTGTTAGTAACATAGATCATTTTGAGGACGAGACAGCACTTGGATCTGATTTAGGTTTACATGGCGGGTGTCATCGGTGAAGACTTTGTTGGTGACCCTACCGGAACATGTGACCTTTTTTGTCATTGTACTTTTACTTTTACGCCATGTAACTAGACAGACAGACAGACATTACATTATTTTCGCCATGTAACTAGACAGACAGACATTACATTATTTACGCCATGTAACTAGACAGACAGACATTTTATTATTTACTCCATGTAACTAGACAGACAGACATTTTATTATTCAAGCCATGTAACTAGACAGACAGACATTTTATTATTCAAGCCATGTAACTAGACAGACAGACATTATATTATTTAAGCCATGTAACTAGACAGACAGACATTATATTATTTACGCCATGTAAATAGACAGACAGACATTATATTATTTACTCCATGTAACTAGACAGACAGACATTATATTATTTACGCCATGTAAATAGACAGACAGACATTATGTTATTTACGCCATGTAACTAGACAGACAGACATTACATTATTTACGCCATGTAACTAGACAGACAGACATTATATTATTTACGCCATGTAACTAGACAGACAGACATTATATTATTTACGCCATGTACCTAGATAGAAAGACATTGTATTATTTACGCCATGTAACTAGACAGACAGACATTATATTATTCTAGTTCTGTCATTGTACTTTTACTTTTACGCCATATAACTAGACAGACAGACATTATATTATTTACGCCATGTAGCTAGACAGACAGACATTATATTATTTACGCCATGTAACTAGAGAGACAAACATTATATTATTTACGCCATGTAACTAGACAGACAGACATTTTATTATTTACGCCATGTAACTAGACAGACAGACATTATATTATTCTAGTTCTGTCATTGTACTTTTACTTTTACGCCATATAACTAGACAGACAGACATTATATGATTTACGCCATGTAACTAGACAGACAGACATTATATTATTCTAGTTCTGTCGATTTTGGAATCGAATCACGGTTCTGTTGAATAACCTTTTTTCCCTTCGGTTTGGGAACAATCCTATCACTATTGAATTAGATATATCACCGATACAGATTTATCACATACTGTACTGTGTTATCCATTGACTATACCCACGTCATATTTTATTGCGTATTGACCTACGTAATATGATCTATCAGCCCTGCGATTGGTTATAAGTTTCAATTGGTTTCAATTGTGACGTCACGCCTAGGACAAGTACATAACGTCACAGACTTACGCAATGGAGTCAAAATGGCGGCTTTTTTCATTTTAAGGTTGCATGAACATTTTCGTTGTAAACGAATAAAGGCCACAAATCTTGATTATGTGACAAAAAGGATCATACACTCGTTTTCATTTCATATGAAATGTATAAAATCGTCACGAATTTTTAAATTGAAAAATTCTTAGACTCGTTTCATAAATCTCGTATGAAATGGAAACTCATGCAAGATCCTATATATGTTAAATGAACGGTGAACGGTCCTATAAATAACAAAGCTTGAGAACAACATTGAATCTGTTTATTTTTTTCAGACTAATCACAATATGGCTCGGACCTGGGCACTGGTCATCACTCTTTGCATGCTGGTCAGTTGCATCACTGAAGAAATACCCGGATGTGTTTTTCTGGATATTAACACTAACACATTCAACTGCACTTCCGGTAACATTACGTCATTTCCGACACGTGAACAAATCCCTTACGGTGTCTCAGCTATCGACTTATCTCATAACAAGCTGGTACATATCCCGCATATTAACATCACTGCACCCCAAGCCCTGAAACACCTTAATCTCTCCCGAAACCATATCTCGTCAGTGAGCCAGGCCGCCTTTACAGATCTCACGGCGCTCGAAACGCTTGATCTGTCCTACAATCTCCTTCGCGGATCTGATCTGATCGTGAAGCAGTATCGTCTCGTGATGAGCGAGTTCCACAGTCTGCGGGTGCTCATCCTTAGGGGTAATGCCTTGGGGATGATAGAACGTCTCACGTTCAGGGAATTTGGTTACGATCGGCTCGAGGAGCTGGATTTGTCTTTCTGTGCGATCTCTACTCTTCAACATCTCGCACTCGAAAATCTCATGAGACTTCGTGTCCTTGACCTTAGTCACAACAATTTGGCCACCTTTGACACTGCTGCGTTTTCAGGGGTCACGCACCTGCATAGCCTCGATCTGAGCTATAACAAACTTACAGAGATCACGGACATGCACCTGACTCTTACGTCATCATTGCATTTCATCAACCTTGACAATAACCTGATCACGGCCATCAGAGACAACGCATTCTCCGGAGTGTCAGGACTTGAACGTCTGGGCCTGCGCAGCAACCGTCTACACCGGATTACACAGCTGTCGCTCCCTACGGACATGCACAGAGCTCCCGATCTCGATAACAATCCCTGGTCATGTGACTGCCATACGAAGTGGATCATCTCGCCAGACTCCGTCCTCCGCACTCTCAACGCGTCCATAATGTAAGTAGGAACGTTTTAATTACAACGACGTATCAGTTATTTAAATATGATTTAATTGCCTCTCAAACTTTCTTATTATGTTATACTCTCTCGATAGATATTCCTTGCGAACGAACGTGGGAAAAGAATCTCCTCCAGTAGTTTTGATTTTTTTAAATGTAAGAGTCCGCGCGTACAAATGTTGTAAAATGCTAGCAAACTACATTAAAATGCTTTTAAAGGAGATAACTCGTGTTAGTGATCTATCATGCTTTGAACTAAAGGGAATGGGAGTAAAGATTTTTGTTTTTATACAAACTCCTTACAAATAATACAATATATGTATGAGAAAATATGTTTTCATTCATGGGATGATATTTTGAGTGGTGCTGTTTGTCAATGTTACGCCGCTGATGTACTCTTCTGAGGTTTCAATCACGTTCAAGTCTCGTTTTGATCTTGTGTAACAGGTGTTTTTATCACATAATGCACTGTGTTATCCAGTGAATATACCCATGTCATATTATTTTGCGTATTAACCAATGTAATATTACCTATCAGTCCTGTGATTGGTTGTAAGTTTCAATTGTTTCAATTTTGACGTCACACCTAGGACAAGTTACATGACGTCACAGACTTAAGCACTGGAGTCAAAATGGCGGCTTTTTACATTTCAAGGGTGCATGACAATTGTCGTTTTACACGAAGAAAGGCCACAAATCTTGATCATGTGATAAAAAGGATCTAACACTTGTTTTCATTTCATATGAAATTTATGAAATGGAAACTCATGTAAGATCTTTCATGTAATATTTTTATGTAAGTTATAATCAATTTAAATAGCAAACATGCGGCTGAAAAATGTGAAAACATTTTTTTTTTAAATTTACCAAATTAGACGCCAATTTGAAAATGTGTATTTCTTGCGCTTCACGAAAGACCAAAATCTCACCTTTTTGACACTTGATTGATCACGTAAATCGTCATTGTGTCGCCATTTTGAATTTTAGCAAGTTCATTTTTGCTGTACAGCTTTATTATATTCAATGTGACGAAAGAAATATGCAATAAAGAGGAAAGTAATACATGATTGGTATTTTTTTCACATTTATTGTAACTGAAGCAAATAACGCAAATAGTAATGGGATCAAAACAAAACAAAAAACTGACCCCCATTTTTGTGGCTAATTTAGAAAGAGAAACTCATTTTTCTTATTCGTTAAATAAAAAAGTTAATAGCAGAACTTAATAAATCAAGCGTTAAATTTGCAAAAATCGGTGAAAAAATCAGATTTTTTTCTTTAAAAAATAAGGGGTAGGGGCAATCTAAATCGCTTTTTTTTAGATAAAAGTACGATATTAAGAAATTTTACCTCCACAATTTACACAAAAATAGAAAATACCGGTTTTGTTTTTAATTCAACAAACATTCATACATATCTGATAACACTTTGAGGATATTGTATGAATTTTTTCTGCAAATGGTAAAAAAAAACGAAACCTCCGAAAATCACATATTATATCATATTGGTGTCTTTGATCGATCATAGCACAAAGATGAACACACGGACATATCCTTTTTGTATTTATGCCATTAGCTCCTTTTTCCAAAATAGCGTATTAGAATAAAAAATAATAATACAGGAATACTTCTCAGAGGTGTACATCACTACTGACATCAACAATGGCGGTCAGTTTTAACCGCTTTGGTGCCAGACACCAAAGTTTCTCTTGTCCGCGCTGGGTGGTCAGGTGGTGCAGTGGATATCGCACTTGCCTTCCACCAAGGCGGCCAGGGTTCGATTCCCCGATCGGACGGGAAAAGGTTGGGGTCACCTGCCCGACCACGTGGGTTTTCTCCGGATACTCCGGTTTCCTCCCACAATAAGAACCCCCACGCGCTAACAACCGGGCCAACAAGAGTGATTAATATAAGTTGAAATAACTTGTTTCATAATTGTTGTAAAATAAATAAAGTGTATATTTTATGGTTACTGCAAATCTGACTTATGTTTACCGTGTATGGTTACAGTATATCTGACTTATGTTTAACTTGTATGGTTACAGTAAATCTGAATTATATTTAACTTGTGTGGTTACAGTAAATCTGAATTGTATTTAACTTGTATGGTTATAGTAAATCTGACTTATATTCAACTTGTATGGTTTCAGTAAATCTGACTTATATTTAACTTGTATGGTTACAGTATATCTGACTTATATTTAACTTGTATGGTTACAGTAAACCTGACTTATGTCTAACTTGTATGGTTTCAGTCAATATGACTTATATTTAACTTGTATGGTTACAGTAAATCTGACTTATATTCAACTTGTATGGTTTCAGTCAATCTGACTTATATTTAACTTGTGTGGTTACAGTAAATCTGACTTATATTCAACTTGTATGGTTTCAGTCAATCTGACTTATATTTAACTTGTGTGGTTACAGTAAATCTGACTTATATTCAACTTGTATGGTTTCAGTCAATCTGACTTATATTTAACTTGTGTGGTTACAGTAAATCTGACTTATATTCAACTTGTATGGTTTCAGTCAATCTGACTTATATTTAACTTGTGTGGTTACAGTAAATCTGACTTATATTCAACTTGTATGGTTTCAGTCAATCTGACTTATATTTAACTTGTGTGGTTACAGTAAATCTGACTTATATTCAACTTGTATGGTTTCAGTAAATATGACTTATATCTAACTTGTATGTTACAGATGTACCTATCCATCGCGACTCCGAGGCTTGGACATATTCGACATTGACGAAGCTGACCTAGCCTGCCCGCAGTCCCTGTTGACTATATTAACGACCCTGTTAATAACACTCGCTATCATCATCATTTTCGGCGGATTATTTATGCTGCTGTACCACAAGCGGGCATTGCTCAAGTGTGTACGGGGTACCGGGGTCAAAGGTCGATACGTGGCTGTGTATTCACATGACAGGGAGGACGCCGGCGTAACGTTGGAAATGGACCCGACTTTTGACAAATCAAATCTTGAGAAAGAGGCTGACTCAGAAGTGTACGCTTAACATGTAACCATTAATTTTGTTTACAAAATATAAATGGTTAAATCATATCTAGGGAACACTTTGTTGACAAGGAATTATAAGTGCAACAATTTCGATACAGCCATTGTTTTATATTTTTGTAATATGTATTTATTGTTTTCATAAACGTTTCTGTATTTTGAATTTCATGTACATCATTTTTTTCAGTATCGCATACATATGAAATGCCTGATGTTCAAAACTTTATTAGCGGAAAGAAAGAACAATGGGCGAGTCCCCTGTAATTCGTCTCCCCTTTCATCGATATAAGATAGTTCTGTCAGCGTGATTAATTTATTTTTTCTTCCTTTAGCGTGTGTGTGAGTGTGTGCTTGTAAAATATGCAGTAATATGATGCCAATATCAACAAGAAACAAGAAAAGTAGATCGAGGAGATTGGCGGAGAAAAATATCACCATCAGGTCTATTTATTGTGGACTAGTTGACTTAAACTTCGAATTTGCATATTCATAAAATGATCAGTTATTTTGAACTATTTTATCTGTTTTGTTGTTTATTTTGTTAAAACATTTTCAATGAAGAAAACAAATTACACAATACCAGAGCTGTTAATCTAGCATGCGGATAAACGAAGCTAAGAAGTTTAATATTTGAAGTTCGACACCAGTGACTGTCTTGTTTTATAGATCTATACCTATACCGGCTACACAATTACTGTTGATCCTGTTAACTGTCATACACGAGTGTCATAAGGTCCGAGAGTTCACAAACGGAAGGTTTGAAGCAAAACAAAACGCCCCAGACTTTTCGTCCCCTGTGCAAACTCGAACACATATATTGAATCACATCAAAAGTATACTTTTTTCAAAATTTGAATACCTATTAATTCCATTCATTCAAAAGTCTGTCAACAGGTGCTCATTAAAACTCCTCAATAGCTCAGTAATTAACCTCATCTCATTTTAGATAGGAATTACATTCGTTCGAAACATTTGTTAATTTTCTGATTTAGTTGTGCTATACACATAAACATTTCGGTTCCTTTTGTACTGACACCGAGTTCGGAGTTTGACATCGAGTTAAGATTTGGACATCGAGTTTGGATTTTGACATCGAGTTAGGATTTAGACATCGAGTTAGGATTTGGACACAGAGTTAGGATTTTGACATCGAGTTAGGATTTGGACATCGAGTTAGGATTTTGACGAGTTAGGATTTGGACACCTAGTTAGGATTTTGACAACGAGTTAGGATTTGGACACCTAGTTAGGATTTTGACATCGAGTTAGGATTTGGACACAGAGTTAGGATTTTGACATCGAGTTAGGATTTTGACATCGAGTTAGGTTTGGACACCTAGTTAGGATTTTGACAAAGAGTTAGGATTTGGACACCTAGTTAGGATTTTGACATCGAGTTAGGATTTGGACACAGAGTTAGGATTTTGACATCGAGTTAGGATTTTGACATCGAGTTAGGATTTGGACATCGATTTAGGATTTGGACATCAAGTTAGGTTTGGACACCTAGTTAGGATTTTGACAACGAGTTAGGATTTGGACACCTAGTTAGGATTTTGACATCGAGTTAGGATTTTGACATCGAGTTATGATTTGGACACCGAGTTAGGATTTGGATACCGAGTTAGGACTTTGACCTTGTATATGACGACGCGTTATCTTCTACATTACTCATACAACAATAAAACAAGACAATAACATTTTAAAATTATTTTTTTTAAGTAGTGTTTGAATACACAACAAAAGAACAACTTTCCTCTACTGCGATTCTGTGAACAAGGAGTAGTTTGTGGGAACGCTGTCCCTGTTTGTGTGAACGGTGTCCCTGTTTTTATTGTTACAGAACTGACTTGTAATGTTGGTGGGGTAGACCATTGTAATGTCTATAGTGTATTAGTATGATATATATTTCCGTCTACATTATGTTAGTAAAATATTATTTCCGGCTATAGTGTATTAGTATGATATATATTTCCGTCTACATTATGTCAGTTAAATATTATTTCCGGCTATAGTGTATTAGTATGATATATATTCCCGTCTACATTATGTACATGTAATATATTATTTCCGGCTATAGTGTATTAGTATGATATATATTCCCGTCTACATTATGTCAGTAATATATTTTTCCGTCTACATTATGTGAGTAAGATATTAATTCTGACTATTTTAGTATGATATATTTTCCCGTCTATATTATATTAGTTAATAAGATGTTATTTCCGGCAATATTCGCAAGGCATGCTTTCTCCGCCTTTGTAAGTGATGTATAATTATCCATTTCTATTAGTATTACGGGCTTTATCCGTTTATATTGGTACCGTATAATTACCCGTATGTGCTATTTTGATGTAGTAAGCTTTATCCGGCTATAGTGTGTTAGTAATAACAAATACATTTCTGTCTATACTATGTTGCTGCTGTAGTATTTCTCTGCCTGTATTATATTTCTAAGAATTTTCTTATTCTATATTATAACAATTCATTATTTCTCCTATCATATATAAGTAATATAATTGCTTAACAATGTAACATCATGGTTTTGGCAGTCCGTCTGTTAAGCCACCAGCTGTATACTCAGTTTATCAGTTGTATATATCCGACATATTCAGCATCCTCACACTACCTAGTAAATCAGCAGTGTGGCGTACACTGTATTTCTTTGTCCACCATATACAACAATGTACAAGTGGCCGTTTGCTCATGTTCTACATACACTTTCAATTACCTAAATGCTGTTAGTCGATCCTAAGGGTTTTAAACAGACTTGTGTTGTAATCTGAGAGATTTATTTTTGTTGTTCATCGTTGGTGTTTGACTTTTTAATGTTGTTCGCGAGGATGTGGATTTAACGTTTCAGTGTTGTTTGTTTGTGTGGTGAATCGGGGTTGTGACAGTTATGAAGTTTTAGATTTAGCATTTTAATGTTGTTCTAACGTGAGTTCAGGTTATTTTTGGTTTAGTTGTGACAATCAGTAAGATATTAGTATGGTCCTCTGTTTGTAGACAACAGATTTATGTCTTCTGGATACAGGTTCTCCCGTCCGTCGGCGTAGTGACATCCCCAGGCAATAAGGTCAATGTCCTTAAGGTCACTACATTTCCTTATGTTTCCTCTGTAATCAAGACAAAAGCTAGGATAATAGATGTACAAACTCAACAATTAGCATATTCATGGTCACGCATGCCACCCTATTTATCTCTAAATAACGTCCGCCATGTCTTAACATTGCTGTCCTACGTATGAAGTCCCTACACTCGAGTCACCTCCCAATGCTGTTATCGTTCATAAGACGTGATTTCTGTAATATAAATAATGGCGTCCTATGCCGTTCAGCAGTGATAAACATAAAAACAACATGCTAGAGGACAATCAGCCTATTGTAAGCGTCCTCAGTATTTCACGAGTGTGGCTAATATTTTGATATTTTTCACGAGTGCGCATCAAAACATTACCGACACGAGTGAAATATATTTGTTATTACTGAAGACACCATTGGATTTTCTATTTATTACATTTTTAAAGCATAAAACTATGTTAAGGATACGAAAAATTACATAAATAGAAACAATATAGTAAATCAGGGCAAAATTATAGATATTATAGACACTTTTGATCTCATTGATATATGGCGAGAGCAAACCCCAGATGTAAACCTCTTTACTTGGCATGGACTAAACAGGAAACAGGCAAGATTAGACTATTTTCTAGTGTCATCAGATTTTGTTTCTACTTTCGTTAAGAGTGACATTGAGATAAGCTACAGGTCTGATCATTGTCCAATATCAATAGAACTTGAATTCATAAAACAAAATAGAGGTAAAGGAACATGGAAATTTAACAATAGTTTATTGAGAGATCCAGATTATGTAAATTTAGTAAAAGAATGTATAAATGTAGTAATTAATCAATATGCAGAGAATCCTGAAGTAGAAATTAGGGACTTATTAACATTTACGATTAGCAATAACTTGTTATAGGAAACCATCAAATTCACAATAAGGGGAAGATTATCGCTTACTCGGCCAAAAACAGGGAAAGGGATCAAGAAGAAAAACATTAAGAGTCCAAAATAGAAACAATACAAAAAGCAGAGAACAGATAATTCGATCTTATTGAGGATATTATAGAACATGAGGATATTATAGAATGAATTAAAATTACTATGGAAGAGAAAAATTTAGGGTATTGTTTTAAGAGCGAAAACAATGTGGAAAGTAGAAGGGGGGAAAAGTAATAATATTTTTGCAATCTAGAGAAAAGACATTTTCAGAAAAAGCTCATCTCCAAACTTATTAAAGAAAATGAACAAGAACTAATTGATCTTAAGAATATAATGACAGAACAGAAACTTAATTATGAAAAATTTAAAACAAAAAAAAACAGAAAATATTTTTTTCGATGAAACAAATCCTTTCATAAGCAAATTATCAACTGCACGAAGTGGTCAATTAAAAGGTGAATACTCCGCGAGTGACAGTTTGATAGAGGAGTGTTTTGACTTGGACATATCAAAGATGTTTTCTGTCACAGACTGCATGGCATGTCATTTATAGCAGGAACGACCTTGACCCCAAAACTCAAACAAGGTGAAACAGAGCACAATAAAAGAAGTTCTATTAAACATAGTGTTTATAGTATTGAATTTAAAATAAATAATGTATTAGCAGGGACGTATAGTGAAGGGGATTAGCAACTCCCTCACTGTCTTACCAATTTTATGACACGTCAATCTAGACTTACCTCCCCCTGATTCCGGAGCAGATAGCGAGCGCCACCTATCTCAATTTTGACAAAGCAAGATGGCGTCGATACCGCTTCGTTAGATGCAGAAGTTGGTGTGAAAACAAACCAATCTCGATAAGTGTTCTTACGTCATTTGTTTATCCCATTGTAATAAGCTGATTGTATAACTTTTAATTGATAAAATCTGTGGTATCATAGTAATTGATGTCTCGTTTTTGGGTTATATTTTTCTATTTTTAAACGCGATGTAACGCGTGGTTCAGAGTATTGTGGTGGGCTTCGATAGACAAAAATGCGGGATAAAAAAACACCCACATGTATGTGAACCACCTCACTCCAAAAGTATTTGACCGATCTTTTTTAAATTAGCAGCAATAGAAAGCTGAATAAATTTTATAACGACCCAACCCATTTTAATTGCAAATAATATAATTTAACTTGTGTTATTTTTGTGTCAAAAAGACTAAATATCTGCATTATTTTTCACTGGAACGTAAATCATTATTGCGAAAGTAGTTGGTGACTGCTCACTGTTTTGATTAAATTTTATAAACTATCGATTATATTTTTTAAAACAATTAATATCAATAAACAGCTGAGTAATTTCTATGTTAAGTAGGCCTGATTTGATTTGCATTACTTGGAACGATAGCGATGTCACAGATGAAATTACTCGTCTGGTAACGAAGGACACGTGTTGTTAAAAACCGTAAACAAAAATGCGGGATAAAAAAAACCCCCATGTATGTGAACCACCTCA